GTGCGAGGGCTTCTAATGTCCTGGCCCCACTGGTGGACCTCCTGATGGCACCTGGTATTTCTGGCCACTATGTGACACAGAGTGTTGGACTGGATGGGCCTTTGGCCTGAACCAACATTGGTGTCTCTTATGTTCTTATGAAGTGTCTACCTATCTCAATTATATCCTCCAAGGAATTTGGGACTGCATATGTGGTTTATATCTTCCCTATTTTGTCCTCACAACAATCCTTGGTCCAATGCTTTTTAACTTGTTCATTAATTATTTGGAGTTGGGAGTAAGCAGTGAAGTGGCTAAATTTGCGGATGATACGAAGTTGTTCAGGGTGGTGAAAATTAGGAAGGGTATTGAAAACAGATCAGCCAATATCATAATGCCCCTATATAAATCAATGGTGCGACCTCATTTGGAATACTGTGTGCAGTTCTGGTCACCACACCTTAAAAAGGATATTATAGCTTCGGAAAAAGTGCAGAAAAGGGCAACTCGAATGATAAAAGGGTTGGAACACTTTCCCTATGAGGAAAGGTTAAAGCGCTTAGGGCTCTTTAGCTTGGAGAAAAGACGACTGAGGGGTGACATGATCGAGGTTTATAAGATTATGCATGGGAAAGAGCAGGTAAAGAAAGAGGTACTTTTCTCCCTTTCTCACAATACAAGAACCCGTGGGCACTCCATGAAATTGCTGAGCGGTCGGGTTAGAACGGATAAAAGGAAGTACTTATTCACCCAAAGAGTGATTAACACACATGGAATTCACTGCCACAGGAGGTGGTGGTGGCTACAAGCATGGACAGCTTCAAAAGGGAATTAGATAAGCATTTGGAGCAGAGGTCCATCAGTGACTATTAGCCACAAGGTATAGATAGGAACACTCAGTCTGGGGCAAGTGATGTATTCTTGCTGCTTGGGGTGGGGGCAACAGTGGTATAGCTTCTAGTGTCCTGGCCCCACTGCTGGACCTCCTAATGGCAACTGGTATTTTTGGCCACTGTGTGACAGAGTGTTGGACTGGATGGACCATCGGCCTGATCCAACACTGGATTCTCTCTTATGTTCCTTTGTTCCCCTCCTGCCAGATTTAAAGGGCTTCAGCTGATCGGCAGGGACTACGTGGCCTGCCAATCAGCTGGAGGGCCCTTGAAATTTATCAGGAGGAAGAGAGAGGGGTGGTCATGGGCTGCACACTTGGCTCGCAAAAAGATAAAGACCCTTTAAAGGGTCTTTATCTTTTTGCGAGCCAAGTGTGCAGCCCATGACCACCCCTCTCTCTTCCTCCTGATAAATTTCAAGGGCCCTCCAGCTGATTGGCAGGCCACGTAGTCCCTGCCGATCAGCTGAAGCCCTTTAAATCTGGCAGGAAGGAAGAGAGAGGGACGGCCGATGGGTGGTCACACTTGGGAGTGGGGCTTGGGGCGACCGTGCCCACCCCAGAACGCCTCCCCCCAAATCCCCCCACTGGAGCAAGGAAGGGACCTGGCAACCCTAGTTACATCTGATCCCCCGAGACCTAAATCAGTTCACCTGGAGAAAATGGCTGCTTTGAAAGTGGACTGTATGGCATTATACACAATTGTGGTTCCTTCCCTTCCCAACCCTGCCCTCCTCAGGCTCCACCCCCAAAATCTCCAGGAATTTCCCAATTCAGAGCCTTATTCAGGCACCCAGATCCTCTTCCTTCCCTCCAAGTGAGCACAACCTTGTCCTCTTTCATTCTCTGGCCCTGTGTACTCCACCCAGTTATTCCTCCCTGGCCTAACTTGGAAGCTTCCCTTATATATCACCTTTTGGACCTTGACTCCAGTCAAAATTCTGTCCCACCTCTTCCTGGAAGTGATAAAAAGAGGATGGATACCCACTCTCAGGGCTGTCTACCCTTTCCTCTTCCTCTTGGTTTATGAAGGTATCAGCCCAGCCTCCCTCCTCCATCTCCTTGTTACACTAGTTCTTCCCAGCTGCCAGGTCACTGCTGGGCTGTCCAGGTCTCCAGCTTCCTCTCTAGCAGTGGTGGGGGCCACTACCTGGTCAGGGTCTGTAGCTGCCTGCCCCACTGGGTTTCCCGCTGCCTTTCTCTCTGGGTAAGGGCCCTTGAGCGCTGGGTTCTTTGTGGCTTGCCAGTGGGAGGGGGACTAAGTCAGGAATAGAATCCAGTCCCAGACATGCATATGTATTTATTAGAGAGTAGAGTGGGAGACTTCCTGATGGCAGCCCCTGATTTCACCCCTTCTGCCACTTGGTTGGGTGGAGGGGACAAAATTCTGGGGAAATTGTTGTTGTGACAGCAGATCTGGTGTTTTATTTATTTATTTATTTATTTATTTATTTTATTATTCAATTTATATCCCGCCCTCCCCTCAGGCTCAGGGCGGCTAACAATTAGGGCTCAAGGCCATGCTGGTGCTCCAAATATTCACTCTACTTGTACAAGTAGTAAATAGGTGAGAAACACACACACTCCAAAATGATGGTCACAGAGCAAAATGGGAGGGGCCTCCCTCTTGGGTTCTTAAATGGAGACCCTGTATACCAGGATGACTGCTTTCCCTCTGGCTTTCATTCAACTTGGGAGACATAAGAGATCTTTTGGAAGTGTAACCTGATCCTTTGTGCACAAGCATTTATCTTATCTCTAAATTTAGTCTCAGAAACCTAAGTGTAATTTCCCATTCCCCCTCTTCCTAATATCCCCTGGGAGCCAGTTTCAGCACTACCTTAATATGATTATTTCAGCCACCCATCCTGAACACCCACCCACAGTCATAACATAAATACTTTGGCTTTTCACTAGGTGTAGGTTTTAGATGTGTGCAGCCTTCAGGCTGTGTTATCTTAATCTGATTTTAATAAGTCATGTTTAAGTGTAAAATGAAAATCATTATAAATCATTTCAGTTAATGTCTTTCTTTTCTTCCTGTTTATTCTCTCTGATGTAAGAAAGGCTGTATCTTACTAGGCCATTTGGTTTCTTATTAATAGCTGCTGACCGCTATAACAAAACATTAACGGGAAACGTGGTTTATTGTGAATAACTAAGTCCAAGGTCAATACCATTATATTTGGAATTTCATATAAAATCTGAAGTCTGATTTAAAATTCAAATTTAAGGAATTTCAGCTTCAAAAAACAAACCTGTTTCAGGACATATGGTTGAAGTTTAAGCACAACCTACAAAAACCTCTGCATTCAGGGATGATGTTTTCATGCCCCAGACAAATTACTGACAACCAATCATGCTCCCACAATCCTCACAAGACTTGTACCACACTTTCAGCTGCCAAATACAATTTCTGGGGAAAAATGCTCAACGTTTGGGTTCAGGATAAAGCATAGAAAATTGAACCAAAGTACGCAATAGCAGTATAATTTCTTCCACATAATTTCTTGCATCTTTTATTTTCAGTGAATAAATTCAGTTCTGCCCAGTTCTGTTGTTATTAGACTTAACGGTAGCATTTGAAACAGTCGATTATGATCTCTTGACCCACCGCCTCGCCAACATAGATGTTCAGGGGACTGCCTTGAAATGGTTTTCCTCCTTTCTCCACTGTCAGGGACAGAGGGTGGTGCTGGGCAAGAGGGTCTCTCCGCAGTGCTCACTAGAATGTGGAGTGCCTCTCGCCAATGTTATTTAACATCTATATGTGCCCCCTCACCCAGTTAGTCTGGAGTTATGGACTGGGTTTCCATCAGTATGCTGATGACACTGAGCTCTATCTGTTAATGGATGGCCATCTGTCCTCCATTCCTGGAAACTTGGCCGAAGCTTTGGATGCCGTGACTGGCAAAGTCAATTAAGTTAAATCCATTGAAGATGGAGGTCCTGTATCAGGGTCATGGGGGTACGGATGGGGGTACCAGGCTTACCACACTGGAAGAGGCACCTTTGGTGCTGGCCCAGTCAGTGAAGAGCCTGGGAATAACACTGGATGCCTCTCTGTTTATAGAGGCCCAGGTTGCTGCAGTCGCCAGATTTGCATTTTTCCATCTTAGGCAGATCAGGCTACTGAAGCCCTATCTTTCCCCCCAGGACTTAGCTACAGTGACCCATGCAATGGTCACTTCCAGGCTTGATTACTGCAACTCACTCTATGCAGGCTTACCCTTGAGGCTGATCTGGAAATTACAGCTGGTGCAAAATGCTGCGGTATGCCTGCTGACATCAACGCCTGTGCGGGCTCATGTTTGGTATGTGCTTCGCCAGCTGCACTGGTTACCCATTGAGTACCGGATCCACTTCAAGGTATTGGTAATAACCTTTAAAGCCTTATATGGCCTGGGACCAACGTACATAAGGGACCTCTTCTTCCCGTAAATGCCCTGAAGAGCCTTACACTCGGAAAAACAACATTTCCTGGTGGTCCCTGGCCCAAGGGACATTGCTTAGCCTTGACCAGGGCCAGGGCTTTTTCTGCCCTGGCCCCTACCTGGTGGAACATGCTCCCTATTGAGATCAGGGCCCTGCAGGATCTCATTCAATTCCACAGGGCCTGGAAGATGGAGCTGTTCCACCAGGCCTTTAGTTGAGGTAGTGGGTGTCCATACAAGCCCCCCCCCCCCCGGGGTGGGGGGCGGCCCCCACACTCACCTACTGATAACCGGCCACATTTATCTATCTTAACTTGGCCGGAGCCTCCTAACAGTTAGCAATGACTACCATTTATATGTTTATAATGTGTTTTAAATTTTATTGTATTGTATTGTATATGTTCAGAATGTGTTTTACATTTTATTGTAGTAATTGAAATTGATGTAACCCGCCTGAGCCCCTTGTGGGATGGGCAGGATATAAATGCAATAAATAAATAAATAAATAAATAAATAAATAAATAAATAAATAAATAAATATCCCACTCCATCCTCTCATTCTATTTTACTTCAACAGAGAGGCAGTTCTGCACATCTCAAGGTATATGAGGGTGGTGTTGCCTCTCCACTAAAGTAAAAGGGGAAGCCTAATCATTTTGTCATGTATGCTACCAGTTTCCTTGGTGACTATGTGATCTGATGTTATGAGGAAGGAAGAAAAATTTCTCTAGATCCACTCTCTTTCCATGCAAGTCAGTGTTAGAAACCTGTATGTACTCTGTCCTTTGATCATTCTGACTGGTATTTTCCGTACCTTTTCCAACACTGTGCTACTGTATCTGTCTTTGAGATGGTTGAGCCAGAACTGTATTAACTGTCAAATGCAGTTGCATCTTAGATTTATCTGAAGGAGTTATAGTGGCGATTTTATCTTCAGACTTTTTCCAAATAATTATAAACACTGAATTTGCTTTTTCACTACTATTGTACAGCGAGTGGATGTTTCAGTGAGCTGTCCACCACAACCCCACATGGTCTGTGCTGTGTAGTCACAGCCAAACTCGGACCCTGCCAGCTAGGATTTTTTGCCCCAACTTCCCTCACTTTTCCCACCCTTACATTGAATCTCATTTGCCATTTTGTTTCCCATTCATCCAGTTAGGAGAGATCCTTCTGGAGTATTTTTGGCTTTTGATTTTGTTGTGTATGTAATATAATGTAGGAAGGTATTGAGCTTGAGTCTGACCAAGGTATCGTAAAACAACCTATCAGAACAAAGGTAGTTCTGGAGGGAAGCAAAGTGATTGGTCTTTATGTACAGTTTATGATTGGTTACTATCTGACATGTGGGTGTGGTTTGCCAAGCCCGGACTGTTTAAAAAGGAGCCTGTTGCTCCATAGTTTATATCGATCTGGTTCTTCTGACTTCGTGTTCAAATAAAGCTGTTATCACTGTTCACTTGCTGCCTCGAGTCTTGTATCTAACAGATTTCATCATCCTCAGTCACTTGGTGTCATCTACAATACCTGACTATCTGTCTACTCTGCCCTTTCATCCCATGACTGCTAAGTTTACTTAGGAGCCCTTGGTGGAGTAGTGTTTTTTAATTTTTATTTAATTTATTTAATTTATACCCCACCCTCCCCGCCAAGGCGGACTCAGGGCGGCTTACAGATATTTAATAAAAATACAATTAAAACCTATCATAACATATAATCATAAACATAAAATACCAATCGTTTAAAATACAACTAAATTTTTGGAAGTCCAACTATAAAATTATTTACTGGATCTCCCCTATCTACATGCTTCTTGACAAACTGTAAGGCCCCTGTCCTCTCCTCAGCTGAGACACTCCAGTTTGATCCCCAATCTCCTCTTAGATGCTTTGAAGGGCACCCCCTGGAAAGGCTTAGAGCAATATGGATCCCTGGGATAAGTCTCAGAGAGTGCATCTAGTCTGTCAGGTCCATAGCACAGTCCAGCATGAAGGAAGGATACATAAACTTTTACATACCTCTCAGCTCCAAGGCATGCATAATACGATCATATCCTGCTTCAAGGAGTATTCCATCAAAGCAATATGAACCATTTCCAGTTGATGGGCAAGGGCAATCCGTAAGTATCACCTCCAATCCATCAAAGCAGCCTAACATCCAATAAACTCAGGATGGGCCATCAAGAAAACAGTTTTACCATAGCTTCACACCTGGTTTTTGGATGATTGCTAAAAAAATTCCCCATCTTAGAATGTCAAGTGTTACTTCCTAATCCTCCTGCCAGATTTTGATGGCAGTTACCTGCAAACTGCCCAGTCAGGTTTAAACTTCACTCTCTTGATCCAATCATGTTCCTGGGAAAGTGGCTTCCCATGTCAAGCTATGGAATTTTTCACCCTAAAAGGAGTAGCCCAGGTCAGTGAAGCTCCCACTACCTGGCTATCCCTGCACCCACTTCACAGGCTCCCCTTTTCCTCCTTGATGCTCTGCCACCTTGGACTTCTGCTGCATGGACACCTCACAGTTCTCAGGCCTCTCACACACCTTGGATCAGGTAGTATAACACTTCTGAACCTCCTTCCCTCCCTATCCTTGTCTCTTCCCCTCAATCCCACCCCATTCTCAGTGTGATTGTCTGTGGGTTTATTGGGGAGGGTGGTTTTATTCTTGGTTTTACTTGTGGTTGTATTATGGTTTTAAAGGTTAGCAATTCTGGTCTGCCTCAAGTCGTGTGTCTGAGTGCTAGTAAATAAATATTTCATTTAGGTTGCATTGGTTGGTCTCCGTTACTCTTTCTCTTGAGAATATTTCACAGGAATAAAACTTCCATATACACACAAAAAAAGTTCCTTTGTTTATTGGCCTGAAGACCCTGTAACAAGCTAATCTCCTCTTTGGGTCCTGTTCAGGTAACAACTCTAGCAGAGTTTTGAAAGGTGGGTGCAGTGGGATTTAGTTTTGCAGAAGCCATGTCAGTTCATCCCTGGTAAGGCTTGTCGGTCTAAGTGTTCAACAAATTTAGCTTGGTATTGTGTTCTACTAATTTACCTGGGACAGAAGTTCTGCAGACAGGTACATAACTTCTTGGGTCCCCTTATTTAAAAACTGAAGTTACATTGGCTGTTCTCCAATCCTCTAGTAAGGGACCTGATGTTAATCAGTAGGAGTCATAGTTTAGTGGTAAGAGCACAAGACTTGTATGAGGGAAATTCCAGGTTCAGTACCTGGCAGCTGCTCTTAAAGGATCTCAGGTAGGTGTTGGGAAAACAGCTCTCTATGCATGGCCATTCAGAATAGACAGTTCTGAGCTAGCCAGTGTGATGGAGTGGTTAAGAGTGGCAGACTCTAACCTGGAGAACTGGGTGTGATTCCCCACTCCTCCACATGAAGCCTGCTGGGTGACAGTCACAGATCTCTTAGAACTCTCTCAGCCCCACCGACCTACCATGACAGTTAAGGTGGTATAAAATTGATATAGGTTTATACTATAGATGAGTCCACAAGTATAGCACAGTTAGTTCAATCCCTGTTGAATGGCTATAACCACTCTTAGATATCATACAACCATACCATAAATTATACTCACAGTGAAGAAACCTTTTCTTCTCCTTCTGCTCCCTACATAAAAGCGGGATCCTGTCACAGACACAAGGATGTAAGGAAAGGAGCATCCACAATCCTAAAAGTAAACAAAAAGAAATGTGGCTCCAGATAGCTACAGTCATCATCAGCCCGGGAACATCAGCAGTACAAAAGGGTTGGGTTACACGAATTAAAAGTACAGCTTTTGTGAGTAGGGATGGGCAGGAACATTTCATGAACTAAAGTTCATGATGAATTTTGGCCACGGCATGGTTTGCGAAGTGAAGTTCATGGCAGTTCAACCAGTATGAACTTTCCACGAACGTTTAAGCTGTTTCTGGTGGTTTGTGAAGGGATATGTTTCCAGACAGTCTTCCCTCAATCTAAATGTTTACCAAAAGTCAAAGCAAAAAGGGAGGGGGAAACTTGGAGGGCATGTAGAGGAGCAGGGGTCATTTCGTAGAAAAAGAGCTAGGGGGACTCATTAGCATAACTCATTAGCATATGCCACACCCCCTGACATCAGGGGCCCGGCGCTGGACCTGCAAGGCCAGCGGGAGTGCGAGGAAGCCCCGCCAAGGCCCTCCCTGGCCCCAGGCAGGCAGGGGTGGGGAGAGGCGGGGAGGAAGCAACTTACCCTCCCTCTTCTCCTGCCTCCTCCTGGCTGAATGAGGGCTGGAAGCAGGGCGGCCAGAAGCAGGGGGCGGGGCTTCATCATGTGCCCCGCCCCCCTGCACCTCACCCGGGGGAACTGTGTTCCCCCGCGTCCCCCCCGAAATGACCTCTGTAGAGGCGTATCCAGGGGATGTCCCATGCAACTTTAAGGTCTCTAGCTTGCACAGGAGCTGTTCTATACACTCCTGAATCTCCTGAACCTGTGCCTGTCATTTTCCCAGAAAGAAGGGGGTACCTTCTTTGGGAGGGCACCTTCTTTGGGGGGATGTAACTCAGACCCTGTAAATCCAATCCTCACCAAACTTGGAGGGCAGGTATAGGAGAGTCATCTGAAGATCTCCTATGAGTTTGGTGTCTCTAGCATGCCAAGGGGGCATTCTACCACATCACGAACCTCATAAACTAAACCAGTTTGTTTGAAGGCTAAAGGTTCATGATGGTTCATGATTCATGGACCAGGCACACCATGAACCAAACCACATTTTCCCACTTCATGCCCATTCCTATACATGAGAATTTGGGTATTTCATCTGAGCTGGTTATTTGTTGAAACAGATTCAAAACATTACAAAATTCCAGTGCCCTATTGTTTATTGTGCCTCTATCGACTTTCTTGCTCCCGGTCTTTGAAAATGCCTGAGCTTCTACACAGTGACTTCAGCAATACTCTTCTCATAACTATCCCAGATACTTGTGAATGCCCATATCTACTTTGGGACAGTTCAGCATCTACACAAATTCATGCAGCCACATCCAGCCTAAAGCTTATTTCTCACCTCCTTACATGTCTGCAGTATTCCTTCACTACTACATGGACAGACTCATAGTCCTGTGTCTTGATCAGTATTGTTACTCATCACACCTGCAGTGACACTTAAACAATCTAGGACCAAACTAAAGTGTAATGCACCATAAAGTTTCTCTCTTTTTTACATGCTCTTTTTAAAGAGTGTGTGAGAGAAAATGTGTTATATCCAGGTGACAGGAGCTCTCCCACCATGACCCAAAGTCTCCAGAGAGTGCGATGCTGGGGGGTATCAATTAGCATGCAGCCCTGTCTCAGGGATGGGAGAGGTGGTAAAATTACCCCTGAATTGTACGTGCTTCACATACACATCTGTGGGGATGCTGCAGTCCACAGTGAGAGAGAAGGAATTTCTAGATACTGCCAGCACCAGTGTGTGCCACTGATTGTCTGCCAAAAATACATCCCGGAAGGTGACCTGTGTCTGCCAGCCATTGGAGAGCTCTCTGCTCCAGAAAAGGAAGTGAAGCTTATTCCGTGAATATCGGAGTCCAAGCAGCAAAGTGTCACTGTTTTCCTCCAAAATGGTAAAGATGTATTCATTTCTCTGGAAAACACAATTAAGCCTGTTAGCCTGTAAAGTATTTTCATCAGTCTGTTCTTGCTAAACCAAATAATCATCATAGCATTTTGAGTCTCGGATTTAAGGAGGATAGCAAAAATAATTCAGAAAATGGTGTTTACTGTATACATCTTGCAGAATGGGGAAATCTTTTGGTAGCTAACTATCCCAGTTTCTTTTCCATTGTAGAGTTGCTTCCCTGAGGGTAATATTTGACACCCACCAGCATCTCTCCACTGCCCAAGAGTCCCATTGTTGATATAGGAGAGTTTGTTATTTTATACGATGTTTTCTGATTTTAGCAAGCCTTCAGAGCATGAGCAATTTCTTCTATTCTAGTCTTCAACTTGTATTGTATTGATTTTGCTGACATTAAAGAAGAAAAGATGGTATTTTAAAGGCTGATATATTACTGAAAGAGAACATAAGAATATAAGAGAAGCAGAGCATGTGTGTGGACTTTCCTTTTTCAATAAATCCTTTACTATTTTAATTGCTGGTGGTTGTTCTCCATACCACATAAACCTCCACTATTTAAACATGCAATCTAAAACAAGTGCTAGGGGAAGGGAGGCAGTTGGTTCCTAAATTGCTATTTCCCTGGGAGTGAGAAAGTGTGGCAAGCCACCTTCGTTTTAATCCAGGCTTTTCCCCATTCTGCATTAAAATTGAGTTCAACCTTCTTTTTATTTCAGTTTCTTTCCCCATTCTGCATTACATTACCTCCCTTCAGTGGTCAGCCCAGTTTCAGCCTGCTGTTGCCCTAGGTTATTTGGATGCTGCTTTGCCGTGGACAAATTGCCTCAACTCGAACACTGAGAAAATCCAGAGTGGCAGGCAAATGCAGAAAGGACCAATGACAACACAGAAGAAAAGCTAGGAGTGCTGGCCCTCTGGGTGGGAATTTCAGAAACTGACCAGCTGGTGGCATTGTACCAAAGGAGAAGCACCAGAAAACCACTCCAAGATTTAGGCTGACTCTGGAGAACAGCATGTCACCAGATTAGGGATCCCAAGTCCCCCCGGGGGGCGGGGAAAACCCCGGCCTAGAGGCCCGTTCCTCGGCGCCACCGGATCGGGCCCCGGGGGGGGACTCCACCCCGACGTGCATGTCACCTGGAAGTGACGTGGGCATGCTGGGCATGCTGGGGGCGGGGCCACGACCATACAAGGGAAAACTCTATGGGAAAACTCTACAAGGGAAAACTCCCGTCACTTCCGCACAAGACACCGACCGGGAGCCCCCCGCTCCCGGCGAAGATACACTTGGAAACCCTACACCAGATGGAAATTCGAGGCAATCACTGTGTGCTGGTATCTCAGAGCGCCAAGACAGAACTGAGCTCATGGGTGTGAAATGCCCTTTCTTGGAACTGAGGGGAGCTGCACAGCTTCTTGGGGAACCAGGTTTGTTTTGAAATATCAACCTTCCCCTCAGTTACAAGGCGTTCTTAGGGTAGCAAGTGGATTTGCTGCCATAAGCTAATTTTTGTGGTGAACAAGAAGAACATGGAGATCATTGAGGCAAGAGTTGTATGCAGATAGCTAATAAGATTTATTTATTTACAGCTTGGTTTTACAGAGCAGATCGGCGGGACAGATCTCCCAATAGTCAAAGAAGAAACCTGGCTGAGGCATATAAATTTAAACTAGTTAGGGCTTCACAGAGTGGTTTGAATTTTCTTTAATGCTTGCACATACAAAGAGGCTTTCAGGACTATCTGCTGCTAGTATTTCACACACACAGGATTCCACCCACACCAGCCTCCCCCTTCCCAAGAGTCAAACTAAATGGTACAGGTCTGACCATACCAGAGACAGCCTAATCACTGGGTCCTCTCTCAGAGTTACCCTTCAAACTGTCTGGTCTTTTGGTGAGGCAGACCCAAAACTATGGCTGCAGTCTCCCCGAAGCAGATCTGAATGAACTCCCACTGTGCTTCCCTCCAACATTCCATCCCCCCTTTGAAAGGTGATTGGATGCTGGTATAGCGCTCCCATAGGCTCAGGGATGAAACGGCTGGCGGTTTTTTGTTTTCCTTTCAAGGCCAGGACAGCCTCCTGTCCATCCCAGCGGGGCTGTTTCACGATACTTTCAGAAAAGTGTTCTTCAAATTGCACTGCCAGTCAGGGCTTTTTTAGAAGAAGAAAAAGACGTGCCAGAACTCTCAAGAGGGGAGTGAAGTTTTCAGTCTGTATACTTAAAACCAGGGCTATTTTTGGGCAGGAACGCACAGGAATGGAGTTCCGGCTGGCTTCCAAGTTGGCCACACCCAGCAGGAAGGCATTAGCATAATAGGCCACGCCCAACAGCAGAAACTCATTAGGATTGGCTACATTAACTCCAAGGGGGGTGGCTTGGGGGGCCCCTGGTAGGATTGGGGAGGCATTTAAATGCCTCCCTGTGCCTTCCTCGGCCTGCCCAAGGGCTGACTTGCCCAGGCACCCTGCAGCTACGGGACGCCCGGGCAAGCCAAGAGAAGGCAGTTTAAACTTCCCTTCAAGGCAGGGCTTGCCCAGGTGCCCTGTGGCTGTAGGAAGCCTGGGCAAGCCAAGGGAAGGCATGGGGGTGTGGCCTAATATGCTAATTAGTTGTGCTGTCAGGGGGTGCGGCCTGATATGCTAATGAATTTCTGCTGTTGGGTGTGGCCTATTATGCTAATGAGTTCCTGCTGGGCTTTTCTACAAAAAAAAGCCCTGCTTAAAACTCATGATCTTTGTCGTCCTGAGACCAGTTGTAATTTCAAGAGAGCTCCAGGGCCCATCTGGAGGATGGCAACCTTACCGGCAGCAGCTCCAGCTACTAAACCTGGATCCCATGAATTTCAAGGGGTTCAGATCCCATCTTGTGGTTGGACATTTGCAGTCATGTTCGGGACTGGTTTACTCAGCCAGGTCAAACACTTCAGGAGGCTCCAACACAACTAAAACAAAACGTTAACCACCACCATATCATGCTCATCCCTCATGAAGCCGTTCATCAGTTCATATTAACACCTAATTTTATTGGCTTTTCTGTAATACTTGCTGGTTTGATGACCAGATGACTATGTTATTTGACAACTGCAGTAATCATATGCTAGCCTGTTCATGTGAAGTACTTGGTGCGTGGTGAATCACTATTCTGTCATCTACTTAGAACATTGGGGAGAAAATCCTCATGTAAAAAGAGGTTGCTTCCCACTGGGGAAAGGGAATCTGTTAATGGGTTAGCAGGATCCTTGATTTTACTTTTCCATATATGGCAGACATATTAAATAAACTGAGATAAAAATATTTACTTGGAAGAAAGTACTCTCTCTTGATTGTATTGAGACTTTCTTTAAATAAAGTTACTGCTAGATTGCATTTTGTTTTCTGTACTTTCTCTGGAATCATAAAAGGAAAATAATTAGCAAATCCTTGAATGTTTGTCAAAGTGCTGTTATATATAATTTCATAAAAATACATCACTCATCCAATTAAGAATTATATCTTGTTATCTATGACAGTTTTATACCGCTACCCGAAGCAGTGATAATTCCATTTTATAGGTTGCATAACTTGGCTTTAATATCACCACACACAGTGAAACTGTCTGCTCTCTCATTTCTAAACACATCTACTCACACCTCAATGATTTCAGTGAAATTTACGCTTAAATAAACATGCTTACAAGTTGTGCCAGTTACAGTTTGTAGCAGGAGATAGTTAAAGAAGCATGCTGATGGACTATACCAAAATTCCATCTAATCCGGCACCATGTTTACCACGGTGGTCTGCCATATTTGTTTGAAACAGTTCTATCCTGTTTGTCTCCTAAAGGCACCCTAAGCAACTCAGAACAAAAATTAAAAATAAACACCTAAGCAACAAAAACAGACAGCCAAAGCTAGGAAAAGGTACTATTTCCAGTGCTGCTAATTTCTCTGAAACAACCTTCAAAACGGCTTGGTTTTATAGTGTCTCCTGAATGGCATTTGAGGGTAAAAGCTTTCTAGATACTCTCATCTAATCTAAGAAACTGTTAAAAAGCAGGATATTGCTTACCTTAGATTGCATGTGGAATGCTTTCAGGGTGAATACAATGGAAAACTCCTCTGGAAAGAGATCACAGTAAATGAAAATCCGTGATGCTGGAAAACTGAGGAAGCGGGGGCGCATTGCAGAGAACTGGAAGCCACGTGCCCCTTGGATTTGGATCATCCGTATTCCATTCTTCACCCCATTCACAGGAACCACTTCAGCAAGAATATCCAAGGGACGCAGGTCTACACCAAAAAACCCCCACAAAGCCATGTCACTGAAGGTGAGGGAGTACAGCAGACTGCTGCAGACCACCAGTTTGGTGTAGTGGTTACAGTGTCAAGCTAGGATCTGGGAGACCCATTTTGAACCCAACTCAGCCATGGAAGGTTGTTGGGTGACTTTGAGCTAGGACTGCCAACCTCCAGTTAAGGCCTGGAGATCTCCCAGAAGTACAGAGATCAATTCCACTGGAAAAAGTAGCTGCTTTGGAAAATGGACTCTATGGCATTATACCCCCCTGAGCTCCCTCTCCTCCTCAAACCCCACCCTTCCCAAGCGCCATTCCCAAAATCTCCAGGTATTTCCCAACCAGTGTTCCCTCTAAGCTGAGTTAGTGTAAGCTAGCTCACAATTTTTTAGCCTCTGGCTCACACATTTTTGTCTTAGCTCAGGAAGGATGGCTCCAGAGCAAACTAATTTATACAGTAGCTAAATTGCTCACTCACAACTTTAATACCAGTAGCTCACAAAGTAGGATTTCTGCTCACAAGACTCCACAGCTTGGAGGGAGCATTGTTCCCAACCCAGAGCTGGCAACCCTACCTTGGCCCAGACGTACACTCTCAACCTAACCTACCTCACAGGGTTGCTGTGAGAATAAATTGAAGGAGAGGAGAACAATATAAGCTGCTATACATCCCCAATGGGGAGAAATAGAGTAAATAAAATAAAATAAAGCATACACAGGCTGGTACTGAAGAACGGTGACAGCCATGCATTCACTTTCTGATGGATCAACATATGGGGAAGAAACTGATTAGCTGGTGACAGGCATTGGATAAAAATGTGCCTGGGTGGTCTTAGCCAACAAAGAAAGAAATAGAACAGGCAGGGATGCTAAGCTGAAAGCAGGTTACCTATCCCCACTGCCACTCCTATGGCTGCAACATATCCCTTCATCTTTTTAAAAGATTGTCATTTATTTCAGATTACCTCAACCACATGAGAAATGATGGCTGTTCTTATTCCAAAACATTTCAGCTTCATAGAACATGATAGACATTTTCTGTAGTTTAGATAAAACAACTTCAGAACGTTCTAGGCATTTTGATTTAGCAACTTCATGAACCAACTTTAGCATCTAAGTTTATCCTTGCATGAAACAGGATGTGCTGTACAAACTGTGCTTGCTATACACTCCCCCCCAAATCCCAAGAACATCATTTCAGACTTAACTAGGAAGGGGCAAGGATTTCATCAGGGAGCAATGAGATTCATGGCAAGGTTTAGAGGCCTACTCTTGGACAGACTCAAGATTAAATTGCCAAAAAAACACTGTATGGGAACATTTGTTGTAAGTATATATAGTAATAAAAGATATCAGTACTCCTGATATAGATGCTGCCCCTCTCTAAGAAACTGGCTCTTCAGCCTTAATAGACAATTTGTTTCATTGACAATAATTTCTTTCAGATAGGATTTTTTTTTTACAAAAAGGAACCACTCTTACTAATCGTGAACTCTTTCTAAAACTATCACATGGCCCTTTCTATCTGTGCAGCTTTTCAGTTTTTAATGTTAGTAGTCAATTTGCAGCTGTTTGCGACTGTTCTTCAACCTCTCCATGTCCAGGCTTATTTTCCCTTAGCACCCCTAATTCACTTAGCCTCTTCCTCTATTCTCTCTTATCTAGCCCCCCAGTTTCCCCTTTACCTATCTGCTGCTTCTTACAGTCCCCTTCCCTCAGACCCTAATTTCAAACAATAGCCTCAGAGTATGGATCAAAAAACTCCACACAGTGTTGTCATAAACAGGTAAGGAATAGTGTTCTTTCAGCCCAAGGAAATCCCCCAGCCTTGCCAAAGAATATGAAATGTAAAAAAAAAAAAGTTTTAAAAAATACAGTCATAGAAGCAATGCCTTTTAGACAATTTGGCTGTTTTACTACAATTATTGCACATTTTTTTGGAATTCCTAATGTTCTTTGCTTTATTTTGATGTTATTCACCGGTAACTTGGGAGATGGGAGTTACAGGATATGGGAGTTCAGGTGGCATTTTCCTCAATCATCCTTGCTAAAGGAAGAGGAAGGTGGAGGGAGCAGAAGACTTTGGAGGTGAATCAATGGTTGAGATGGTGGTCTTTGAGGCAGTGGTTTGGTTTGGGGGGATCATGGATTAGGACTCCTTGAGGATGGTTTACTTGCATGTGATGGGCTCCATCTTACAAGGATGGAGAATAATATGTTTGGTAAGAGTTTGGCTAGATGCATTGCGAGGGCTTTAAATTGATGCTGGAGGAGAATGAAGATACCTGCTGGGGGGCTTTGAAGGGGATTTGATAATAGGGAGGCATTTGGGAAGTGGATGGAGAGCCCACAACAATGAGATATGGGAAATGTCAGGCCCAGGGGTGTGAGACTTGTGGTGTTTGTATAATAATGTCCAAAGTATGGGGAATAAATAGGAGGATCTTGAATTTCTAATCTGGATGGAGGGGTATGATTTAATAGGCATTATGGAGACCTGGTGGGATGATTCTCACAATTGGAGAGTGTGGCAATGCAGGAATGTGAGTTTTAAAAGAATTGCAAAGGCTATGGAAAGGGTTAGGAATGTTTTAGGATTGTCAGGAAATATTGGATGATGAACGTGATGATCCTATGGGTATTATGGTTGCAGTTTGTTACAGAGTACTTAATCAGGGAGAAGAGGAGGAGGATGATTTCCCTGTGGGATAACTGCTCAATGTGTCCAAACAGTATGATCTAGTGGCTATGGATGATTTCAGTTTCCCTGATATGCACTGGGAGACTTACTCTGTCAAGTGTCCAGGGGATCATGTAATGTCTTCATTTGTTTACAGAATAACTTTCCCTTTCAAAAAATAGAAGAGGTGACTAAGGGGTCTGCTATTTTAGACTTGATTTTGATTAATAGGGAAAAGCTGGTAGATGTGACAGAGGTGGGCACATTAGGGGGAAGCTAGGGATGCCAGCTTATAGGTGGGACCTGGGAATTCCCTGGAGTTACAGGTCATCTCCAGAATACAGAGAGCAGTTCCCCTGGAGAAAATGGATGCTTTGGAGGGTGGACTTTATGGCATTGTACCCCACCAAAGTTCCTTTCCTCCCCAGGCTCGATCCCCAAATCTCCAGGAGTTTTCAACATGGATCTGGCAAACCCCCCCCAGCCCCCACTAGACAGTGATCATACATTGTTAGAATTCTCTCTTCTTTGGGATATTAAAAGTGTTTTTACTCAAATATATAGGTTGGATTTTAGTAGGGCTAATTTTAGTCAATTTAGCGAGATGACGGGAAAGATTCCATGAGTAAGAGCGTTGAAAGGGGAAGAATGTTCTTTTAAACGTGAGTTGTTGCAGGCTCAAGCTATTGCCATTCCAAAACGACGGAAACATGGTAGGAGATCCAAGAACCCTATGTGGATGAATACATAGCCTTCCCGATCCTTCCAGGCCCCCCTCTGGCCTGCCCGCCTTGGAGTCGCTGGGGGTCGCTCTCCAGGCCTACCCTCTGTAGCCATGCATGCAGAGGTTTTGGCTGTAGTGGGCGTGGCCAACTCTGAAGCCAGCTGGAACTCTGTTCCTGTGCATTCCTGCCCAGAAATAGCCCTAGAGTTAGGGCTCTAGACATTTGGTCTAAGGTTTTTCTGTCTGTCTCTGTTATGCACAAGCATGCACATCTATGTACACTCCCACACAGATGTACAGCTTCCAAATAATTCACATTATTCACACAAGAAAGCAAGATACATGTGGCCCTGGAGAATCACACGGACTAAATAAATAAAAAAGAACAGGCAGGATAAGCCAGTTTGATTGAATACATCTGGAAAGGACTGGCAACTATCGTCCAGTGCCAACAAAACCATATGAATTTTTTTCTGCAGTATTTCAAACAAACACTAGCAACATTGAACTAAACCCATTTAGCAGCAGGGAAAACACTCACCTTTTAATGTCTTCATAGATATTTTGCTGTGGGGCAAAAAGGGATGTATAAACCTCACCTGGGGTGCACATGCTAACACAGGAGTTATGTAATTTCTTTTCCTTTTAAAATAAAAAAGCAGCTTAAATTAAAAGTGTTAACACACCTGTATTATACACATTCACTATTTCCCTAAAGGGAATATAAAGAAAAGGTGTTCATGGGCCATTACAATATTATCCCCTGATCATTTTATTGATAATATGTTTGAAATTATAGCTGTTTTCTAATTGTGACTAAAAATGTTTGAATTTGTAGGTAGCTTTTATCATTACCAATCTAAATACTATTGAGCCATGCCTGTTGAACAGAACCAATGCTAGAGGACTTTCTATAAGACTCCATTTCCACAGCTGTAAGTAAGGGAAGGCTTTAGCTTTTGTATTTTTACTTTATTTCCTATTTTTGTTCTAAACTCAGACTACCAGGGTGATGGTGAGATTTTAAAAAATCTAACTACACAAAGCACATCTGGGGGAAAGTGAATTTGTCATACTGGGTCTCTGGTTCTGTAGTTGAAGTAGTTTTGTAATATTCTCTTCAGTGGAAGGGTTCACACTGTGGTAGGTTACCACAAACAGGCTACCACAGCCGTCTGCATCTTGTAAACCGATTACTCAGAGACGGAAGATCATCTTTCTCCAAAATTGATGTAATATGAAAGCCAAGCAGTTATTTTCAGTTCACCTCCCACATTACACCCAGTCTCTTAATGATTAAACTGCAGCTAGGGAATATACACAATCTCATTAATGATTATAGAACATCAGCTGTGGATGCTTGAAAGCAGGTTAGACAACTTATGTTGTACAGACTGACTAGAGCCCTCTTTCACTTTTAATAGGGAGATGAGGACAATTGCATCATACAGATCAAGGAAATGCCTGGGGCTGCATTTTCAAAGGTTCTGAAGTTACACAGGAGTCTAAATCTTTCTTGACTTGCAAAGCAATTGAGTCTGTGTCTCTGGTACTGGCTCAGATGACCTTGCACAGGAGAAAGCAGGGAGGTTTGAGGTAAAGTGCCCTGTAGCACAATT